AAAAGAGAACCGGTGATAATTTACCCCATCCACCTTATTCTAATATATTTAATTATTAAATCCTACATTTCCATCTAATTTCTGACCATTTCCTCTTATTTGAGAGGAAATGATTTCTACCCATAGTGTGGTGTTTTCCTCACTTTTAAGAAAGACTTTCCTAAAAAATTTTGGTAAAACGAAGGAATAAGAAAGGTGTGGAACTTTTTTGGGTTCTCTGATAACGTTAGAATAATTTTCGAGGATTTTCGCTCTAAACAAACACGCCCTTAGCAATGCAGATATGCATCAATATCAAATATGAAAAAATAGCTACGGATGACGTTATCATCATTGAATCTTAATTGGTGAGGTATTGGTGGCAATAAGCAGTAATACCTTTAACGCACTCTCTTCCTGACGTAAAACCTCTCCTATTATACCTTGTTTTTCTTTTGACTATAATAGATTGACTTGACTTTATAAGGACTTTGGTCAGCGTCTTCCTGGCGGAATTTTTCTTTAGGTGCTCCATGAGCACTAAGATGACATTACATCATCCAATTGGAGGCATCATTAGCACAAACCACCCATCACCTTCTTATTTGCGTGTGGTTTACGCTATGTGGCCACCTCCTATTAGAGTGGTGTATGCATTTTGGTGCTTATGGAGCACCTAAAAATTTCTCCTCCCTAACATGTTTATTTGTGATCGCTAGCTATCCAATCCATTAGTCCCCTAATAGTTCAGAGATTAGTCAATCCGGCTTCTCTTCGCAATGTCTCTTGATCCTTGCTTTAACAACATACATAAACACCGTATCGCTATTTGGGACTTGTTCTAGACCTTTCCACGTCCAAGCCCTTTGGAGCCATAGGGCAACCTACAGTAACTTGTTATCCAATATTCTCCATAATTTCATGTTATAAATTAGTTTGGGACTCAAAGTAAAGGAACCAAATGTGAGACGTGTGATGTGTCTCTATAGTAGCCACTCATAATGCATATGATCATACCTTAAGAGTACTACTTATTAAGCCCCAACACTTAGGATTTATATCGTTTGAGGATCTTTTAAACTTTATAAACATACAGTGAATGCTCTCAACATTTCTTAATTGTGAATACACTATTTCTCAATCGTGACTACAACATTTTTTTAAATTAGTGAATATACCATATTTGTGCTTCCAAGTTCACGATGTTGGGTCAAATAATTATCCAAGAGATCAGGAAAGTCCTCAAATGGCCAGTTGTCATTTTCATGAGGAAAAGCAGGGGAAGAGCAGTAGCAATCTAGGATATTTTGTGAACCAACGTGGAAAACCCTGTGATGACTTCAGATAAAGTGTCTTCATAGACAAACAAAATTGCTTCAAATTGGGGGATTTGTTTTGGTGGACACTAGATGCACGTCTGTTTTGGCGGTCCAAGTGATTGTTTAGGCTAAAAAGTTGAGTTGTGGTAAGTCTCTTTGTACCAAAGATAGCTGGCAAAGTTTTTTTTTTTTTTAGGGGCTGTTTGTTTTACTAAAAAAAGAGGGAAATCAAAGAAATGAAAAACTATTAAAATGAAGAATTGGTTTGGGAGTGTTTGGTTGGCTAAAAAAAAGAAGGAAATCAAAAAAATAGAGATGAAATAATGTTAGTTGTCAAATTATTATTGGATGATGTGAGTGATTTTTTAAGAAAACTAGTTTTGATGTTGTTTGGTTGGCGAAAAAAATAAGGAAATAAATTATAAGAAACTTATTTCCTGTAGTTTTGTTGTTTTCTTTTGTTTGGTTCATTCTTAAAAATAAGAAATGAAATGAGATGATGTGAGTTGTCATTGTATTATTGGGTGATGTGAAGAAAGATTAAGAAAAGTGTTTTCATAACTTTTTGGGATGAAAATGGAGAAATGAAATGTTAATGAGATGAGGTGAATTGTTATAATATTTTATTGGATGATGTGAGTGATTTGAAATGATGAAAAGAGATGAGTTGAGTGATGTTTGGATGAAAATAATATTTTATGAGATGTGGTGGATGAGTTATTAGATGAAAATAATATTCTATTAGATGTGGTGGATGAGTGGTTAGATGGAAATAATATTTTATTAGATGATGTGGATGAGTTGTTGGATGAAAATAATATTTTATTGGATGTTGTGGGTGAGTTTTAGGGATGAAAATGGAGGAAATAGTATTTTTTGAGATTTTCATGTTTTCCATTTCCATTTCTTGGTTTTCTTGGTTTTTAGGAAACCAAACAAACAGCCCCTTAAATGAAAATGAAATGATTTTGGCAATGTTTGGAATAAATTACACATATAAAATGGTCTCTCTGCCATCAAATAAAAACTAAGTGAATCTAGTTTAGTTTATGAAATGCATTAGCAAGGAACTAACTTGAATTTCGCCTTACATCATCGTTGATTTAATGTTGAGTTGGACAATTTTGAATCATGATGTTATTTCCCTTTTCTATTGGATGTAAATTTTCAATTTTGCAAATGAGTTACAACCAGGGGTATGAAATAATATCCATTTAAAGATAAATCTATATCTGTATCTATGTTGGATACATATACGAGTACTAAATATCTACATCCATATGATATGATTGTGGATACAGAAATGTAATGGAATATCTGGATCTATATCGAAATATCTAGATACATGCTAATTATGTAGTTGCAATTATGTGTGTATGTGTATATCCACATGTACATCCGGGGTATATATCTACATGTATAGTAATATTTATAAATCTGCATGTATATTCATATTTGTATTCAATTTAATAGATGAATACGACTTTTCTTACTGAGACTTATTTATATCCATAATTGATAAGCGGATATGATTATGATAATTATCATATATCGACGCTTCATATCCAATCCTTTTGCCCCCTTAGACACAAGGCAATTGCACTCGCCTTTTACTTATTAGTGATGTTTATGTATTCACAAAGATATAATTAAGAAAAGAAAAAAAAAGATCTTATGGTCAAGAAATCTAACCAAAATCATCATTTAATTTAGGAGTACATCAGGATGTAAAATTTCATTTTGCATTGGCTCAATTTTTCTGTTTGTGCTCGTGTATCCGCGCACTTTTCTCAACAGGGTAACGCTGCATCAAAGTAAATTTGAGCAATCAGCCTATAAGGTATCAATATTCACCGAGAGATAAAATTGCCCGTTTGTATTGAAAATTGTTAACTTGCATTAGTCCTTTCTAAGTATACTAATGCGGTTCAAATGTTTAATTTCAAAAATTCTCCACAATCCTTATTAGAAATTTCTTCTTCTTTCAAATTCCTTTGTAAACCTATATATCCTGAAAACTAGAAAATTAGATACGTGTTACTCATCAACTCTCGATTCCGAAATGCATATACCATCTTTAGCCCGTTTGAAAGCTATGTTAAAATTTAATTATTATAAAGTCTTTTATATTCACTAATTTTCCACTTTTATCGTTAGCTTGATTGCTGTAGAAACTTTGTCGGCAACAAACTTCAAAGTTGTTATGATTGCGAGAATTCTAAATGTGTACTTAGCAGCCAACGGTAAGCACAAATTAGTGCAAATTTAACAGTTAACTCTCAGTCTACAAATTTAATTAGAGACGAGGTGAAAGATGGATTAGGGTACACACTACTTGCAGCCTCGCAGGTTTTCTTGAAACCCCATTCAAAGGCATTCTATCTGATAACACATCCATTTATCAAAGTTTATTATAAATAATAACCAATCCCCCATAAGCATGTACAGAAAAATTAACATGCATGCACACTTAATCCTTTCATATTAAGATCATTTAGTCCACCTGCTAAAAGCTCTTGGCTTCCAGACACGGATGAGGTGGAGGTCATGGCTATATAATCAGCAGCGGAATCTCACCATAATCGTTTCTTTAACTATATATTTTCCTTCATTTGCCGAAATAATTATGGAGTAAACTCTCCGGCGCCATACCATTTTTGAATTAAATATCGTTAATATTAGGTCATGTGTGGCGATCTCTTGTTTCTGGACAGCAGCAGATACATTTTCCTTTCTTATTTTCTTTTATTTAAACAGAAGCATCAGATACATCTTATTTACAGAATAAGGAACTTTAGATAACCTCTGTGAAATCCTATTAAGATTATTGTCAGTTCATTCCCTTGGGACCGCCACATGTATGCAATTCAATATATTTCCCTCGGCTGATTGATGTAGACCAAAATAATACAATATTATCTTAAAACCATTAAAAAAAAGAAACAAACACTGTGTGTTGGGATTGTGTCGTTGATTCTTTGTATAACTTCATCAGAATTAGATAAGGTTAGAGATCTATCATGATTAGGAGATTGAGTCTCATCAAGCATCAGATACATCTTATTTACAGAATAAGAAACTTCAGATAACCTCTCTGAAATCTCATTAAGATTATTGTCCGTTCATCATAATTAGGAGTTTGAATTCTATTCTAACTAGAAAGTTAGGCTAGAGATCAGATTTTTGGTTTTTCTATATATATTCTTCTATTGTTAAAGGAAAAACCAATAAGAAGCGAGATAGCCAATATTCTTGTAATCTAGGGTTAGCAGAGAACGTAGCCTGATTCAAGAATATTGTGCAAGAGGCGATTGTTTCATAATCTTTGTCCGTGTAAAAGATTACATTATTGGGAGAGGGTTTCGCAGTATTCGTCCGCTCAAAAGATTATAAGGAGAGGGCTTTGGAGAGAATATGAGAGTTGATTTTGTATGTGAGGTTGAGAGATTGAGAGACGAGAGTTGATTTGTTCCTCTTGTAGTTCTCCCTGATACATAGATGATTTCTCGTATTGTTGCCCCGTGGACGTAGGTCGAAGTTGGTCGACCGAACCACGTAAATCTCGGTGTTCTTTCTTCTTGATTGTGATTGTTTTATATCTTGTTGATTGTGGGTTGGCTTCCAAATTATGCAGATCGTAGTATGCGGGGAGACTAAAATTCCCCAATAAGTGGTATCAGCGTCATGATGATGGATCCGGGAGCGAGTTCGCAAGATAGACGCCGTACAAAAGTGAGGATCAATGGCGTTACAAGAATCAAGATGAAGAAGAAGAAAAAGAAAAAAAAGGAAGGCCGAGTGGCTGCAAGAGCGGGTGACAGCAAGATCAGTAACATAGGTGGTTTTTGGTTTGTTTGTTCGCGTGCAAGAGTCGAAAAAGTAGCAGCACGTGAGGAGATTCACATGTGTGGGAAGAAAAGGAAATTTAGCCAATGTGGTCCACATGAAAGAATTATGAGAAACAGTTCATGTGATCTGATTGTCTAATTGCGACCTGCTGATCTAATGTGGAGTTTTGTTTGGTGTTTGGTGTTGGTGTTGTGGATGCACATCGGATGGTCCAGATAGTTTTGCCGATAGAGTGGTGAATCAGAGGTTGATTTCAGTGATCCAGGAGTTGATTCCTAAGTTTTAGAGTGCTCTGACGCGATGGGAGAGTTTGATTTTTTAGATTTTGTTCAGATTGGTTAGAAAGTGCTAAAAAGTTCTGATGTTGATGACGAGACACATCTGATGACAGATTGGCAGATAGGACAAACGAATATGCAACAGATGAGACTAACGTAGATAATCAAATGTGAATCTAGCAGTAGAGTTATCAGCATATAATTATTCAGAGTCATCGCAGGAGCAGTAGTTGGTTGGTGTGTAGACTCGAGGACAGTGCCAGATTAGGTGGAGCTTGCAAGCAGGCACGGCTGAGTGACACACATGTTGATGGAGATGATGATATTGGACTTGAAGACGATGAACGCTCATATTCGGTCCAAGCCAAGTGATGAAGGAGATGGAGGCATATGGCTCGTAGTGTGGAGTAGGAGAGGTGCACCAATATGATTCGAGACGAGCGATGTAGATGGAGTACGAGGACATGAAGTGAGGCTACTGTTAAGTTCAGTTTGGGAGGAGAAGCATGATTGATTTGCTTCTAATATCAGAGGTGGCGAAGATCTCTTGGTGCGCATAAGAGAGGTGGAGGCGACACAGCGAGACAAATGAAAGTGAGGGTCATAAGCACATCCAGTTGAAGTGCGAAAGAAATAAAAGACTCTAACGGAAGATGCAAAATTTCAAAACGACGATAATATATCTTCAAGGGAGTTTAGGAATCAAATCCAATGTGAAGATTGTTGGGATTGTGTCTTTGATTCTTTGTATAACTTCATCAGAATTAGATAATGTTAGAGATCTATCATGATTAGGAGTTTGAATCTTATTCTAATTAGAAACTTAGGTTAAAGATAGGGTTTTTGGTTTTCATATATATATTTTTCTATTGTTGGAGGAAAAACCAGGGAGAAAGGAGATAGATAATATTTTTGTAATTTAGGGTTAGCAAATGTCGTAGTCTGATTCAAGAATATTGTGCAAGAAGCGAGGATTTCGTAGTATTTGTCCGTGCAAAAGATTACATCATTGGGATTCAAGAATATTGTGCGAGAGGCGAGGATTTCGTAGTCTTTGTCCGTGCAAAAGATTACATCTTTGGGAGAGGGTTTCACACTTTTTGTCAGTCAAAAGATTGTAAGGAGTGTGCTTGGGAGAGAATATGAAAGTTGATTATGCATGTGAGGTTGAGAGATTAAGAGACGAGGGTTGAGTAGTTACTCTTGTAGTTCTCCCTAATACATAGTGGATTCTTGTATTATTGCCCCGTGAACGTAGTAGGTCGAAGTTAGTTGACCGAACCACGTAAATCTTGGTGTTCTTTCTTCTTGATTGTGGTTGTTTTATATATTGTTGATTGTGGGTTAGCTTCCAAATTGCATAAATCGTAGTAGGCGGGGAGACAAATTCCCTAACACTGTGCATATGAATAGACAAATGCGAACATAATCACACAACAATATTGTTCAGGAACCAAAGGTTCATTTTGACCCGAGGATCCGAGCGAAGAAAAAGAGCCCACGAAAGCTGCTATTTTTCTTAACCGTTTCATTCTTTAAGTATCTTTTCATGTCAGAGACTTCTATTCAAAATGAATTCAAACATTATACACCATAATAAGATAACTTCACATTCTCACCGTTTTGGTATATCTTCAGGTATCTGATTCTCTGGCTGTGAGAAGAAATGTTTGGCATTTTGAGCAACCTCTGCTTCAAGTATTGCTTCCAGCACAATATCTGATCCTTTAGGCTTACCTGGGCATTACATCAAAATCCAAGATTGCTTTAAGATGAGCATATGCAAGTAAAAGTAGGGAGTGAAATAGAAAACAATAAATATATAAGACTAATATTAATTTCTTACACTTTTCTAGGACACTTTGTCGATGTCGTAATTTATGATTATTAAATACTTACGTCATACTAATTGTGTACTAACTATTAAGATATATATATATATTTATTATTCATATATGTTAAGACCAAATTAATAGAAACAAATTGAAACAGAGATTCACATATAGCAAAGTAAATATGCTTCAGTATAAGAGAGGAGATAGATTGGTTGTTATATAGAAAGATGTATTTAGACCAATTCCCTGATAGAGCGGACCTAGGTAAACATAATATCAAGATTTGAAATATCAGCAAATACCAATAAATCAGCTGTACTTATCAGGAAATTAAGCACGTTGAACAGAACTGATCAGCAAATACCAATAAATCAGCTGTACTTATCAGGAAATTAAGCACGTTGAACAGAACTGCCCAAAACAATTGATACTGTCAATATTAGCTAAAAAACACGTTGAACAGAACTGCCCAAAACAATTGATACTGTCAATATTAGCTAAAAAGGACTAACAAATATTGTATTGGCTAATAACACCTAACATGAGTAAGATTACATTTTACCATAGTTAATTTTATAATATCATATTAGGAAAACTGAAAAGAAATCAATCACAAGAAAACTTAAAATTAAACAAACTTATTTCATATGCTGATACTTCAACGCAAAAGTGATGAAACTGTCAAACTACTGCCACCAATACCAATAAACACGAACTAAAACCACAACAATTCTGTGCTTTCACACCTTCCATTAATACATTATCCTATCATAAGAACTTAGAAAAGTGTTCTTACATTTTGTTTTCATGAGTATGAATTTCTACAAATGCATGCATAGCAGACAAAGAATAAGTGAGATTTTTAAAGGAGCGTTGATACGAAAAACTCCCTTCTCTATTGGCAAGTTTAACAGTAGCAGCACAACAGGCTCATTTGATGCAAGACCAACTGATTGATGAACACCTACAAATCTCTTAAGAAATGTGGTAGGCTTAGATACTGACTGGAAGAAATATATTACTCTAGAATCTAATAAGTGAAATTAGAAACTGACGAAAGTCTGAAATAATAGTATATTAATAGGGAAAATAAACTATTCCACAAATGTTCTTCTCAAGGGTAAGAACTTTCTTCGGAGGCTCTTCTTAGAACAATATCAAAGTCTTCTGACTTGGAAAAGACTAGCTTAGATGCGATCATGGGGTGTTTCAAGTCCTTTTTTATTGTGGCTGGCTGGGAGAGGAATAATGCACAGAAATGAAAAAATTGATTAGACTAATACACAAATTGGTGTTTCCGAATCAACAACCCCACTGCGGCAATGAAAACCTTCTAAACTCGAATACACGTAACTAGAAAGTGATGATGCATCCTTTTGTAGACTACATGAGATCAAAGTTACTGATAGAACAAAAATCAAAATTTTCTTCTTGGCGTACATCACACAATCTCAAGAGAGGTTTTTTTAGGCTGTTCTAAAACAAGAATGCCATACTATCATTAAGAAAGAGGTAAAAAAATTTTAAAACAGCAATGTTCCATTGCTAACCTAGCAAGGGAATTCGAGCACTAATTACCATTATTATTTATGCTAATATTAAATGGGATCAGATAGAACAAGCCCACTGAGTAGAGAAATCAAAGGAAAGAAGGAAAGAAGTTCGGCAAACATAAAATGCTCATGGTACGATAATTGCTAGGAAACAGATAAGTCAGAAATCTCAATGGTTCATGCACATTCTTAAAGAGTATCAGCTACTCTTAGAATAAAGAACCCAAAACATTGCAGATTTTATGCAATGCTTGCCTTTCGAAGAATAGTTTAAAAAGTGCTTAATAATGCAACGATGACAGCTCTCCTTATTCATCTATTCAGGCTTTTTACTGCTCCAAAAATGGCTGTAACATCTACAGATAGCAAAATGATGTCTCACTGCAGAGGGCTAATCATAACCATAGGTCCCAACTTTGCAGAATAAAAGCATTAACCTTGCCAGGAATGGCGATCGTAACACCAAAAGACCTGAAATGTTCACCATTGCCTTGAAGTGAAACAGGTCAGTCTCGATTTTCTCGCTAAAGTTATAGTCCATGGGTAAACATCATCAAAGCTAAATATTGTTGCAATGCGGACAAATCTATCTACATCAGCTCCTGGGATTTTAAATTAGTTGTTCATCTGGCTACTTGATCAGTCAAACAGTAAGATAATCCCATAGAGGTGGATATAACTCACCAATTATAGAAAACAAAAACAAAAAGAGCCATCTTCAGGGTCACCAATTATGGCATCTATGATCAGATCAGAATGATAAATTTGAGGATGAAATAAGCGCTTTTCAGCCAACTAGGGATGACAAATTTGATGTTTCAAATGATGGACACTGCTCTATATACGAGGCAAATGACATTCTTCCCTTGGGCATGTAACTTAAAACAAATTTTCAGCACAAATACATGTGAGAAAATAAAACAATGACAATAATCCACTAAAGCTAAAAGAGTTTATGATAGCAAATTTTGATGTTTCACAGATATGAACATTTTGAAGAGCTCTTTACATTAGAAACATGAACAAGCAAAAATTATATCAGAATGGGAGTCGAAAGTTCAATGATCGAAGCCAAAGCGATAGCAATAATATCACCACTAAAAATGTACAAGGTATATACCATTATGCTTTGGAAGAAATCCAGCATTTTCAGCAGAGACAGGAAGAACAGCTAACAAACCATCCCTTTCATCATCGATCTTCCCTCCACCATCACCATTCTCAACAAAATGTGATTTTACATTCGGTGCTTCAGCCAATCTAGCATAAGTCATAGCTTGGCTGTGCAATCTCAAAGAGTCCTTATCCTCTAAATTAAAGCTCTGCGTACAAGAAATAAGCACATAAATATGAATACTAACATATAGAAAATAAATAAAATAAAAGAACAATTTTTCACTGTAGACCCGATCTGCGTTTTTATTACCAAAACCGACCGAAATTTTTTTTAATTATCAAAATCGACCCGTTTTATGCCACGTAGGCTTAAGCCCATTTCCTAATTAGTCGGGGGGCATAAAACGGGTCGATTTTGATAATTAAAAAAATTTTCGGTCGGTTTTGGTAATAAAAACGCAGATCAGGTCTACAGTAAAAAATTGTTCAAAATAAAAACTAAGTAAAAGACCTTGGGAGTATACAGTGTAGGCTTGATTTCTTCATTAGGCATCACATTAGCACTTGTACCTGAAAATATCCCAAAAAAATATTTTCTAAACAAGGAAAAATCATACAAATATTCTAAATAAAGTACCATCATAATTACTGTTATTCGACATACGGTCTCCCGTTGCCCCATCGATCCTCCTTGTGAACGGAACAGGATTCATAATTGAAATGCTCCGAATCTCATACCGAATGGCTTCTAATTGTGCCATAGTATCTTGAAGCTCTTTATGCACCTATAATGTTATGTTGCAACAAATTAAAAAAAAAAAATTAGATATTCGAAACAAATATATAGATAAAATTTCATTTCCCCCCCCAAAATTCGGACCTGGCTTGCTTGGGAGTGTTGCATTACATTGTCGAACTGACCGCGGGCCATCTGGACGTACCCGATGGCGCGGCCCACTAACCGACCTGCTGTCCTCGCGATCACTGGAAGATCTTTTGGGCCTAGAATCAAGCACATATGAGTTTAGAATCTGATGCATCTAAAGTGTTCGTGAAAATGTCAAAGAGAGAGATGAGAGAGTACCAATGAGAGCTGCGGTTGCTCCAACGATGAGGAAGAGCTCTCCGTATGAGATTCCGAGCATGACTCAGATATCCTCAGCCGTGGTGGTGGTGATGGGAGAGGACGGGAGATGAGATTCGGTAGGGTTAGTTTCTCGAGCGTGGATGAAAGCAGTAACCTATGGGGGATCCAACAAATCCTAGGATGGGCCGTGGCCCGTATTTCAGGATATTAGGCTTGGTTACGTTGTTGACATGGATGCAGATGCAGATATATCTGATAAAACATGGATGGATGTATACAAACGCGGCTAAATTACCACACTGGTATATTTAGAGGCACCTATTTACCACAAGGTATATTTATTGGCTCTGGCGATGTAAGGCATGAAAAGTGCTCTTGTTTTGCCATTAAGGCCTCACCAGTCACAGGCGGAGAGATTTGAGCTCATCCACTCCGACTCCATCCCCTCCCAGCTCTCCTCCTTCCTCTCCGACCCCCGATTCAAGTTCCGTCGGCGTCGGCGTTGACGAGGACGCGGAGAAGTTGGTCGAGGATTACGGGATGTCGGTGACGAACACGGTTGCTTGCAGGGCCGTTGCGGCGGGGGT